TAATGCGCTTTCAGCATCAGAGTGGAATCCTATCAGCATAAAGTCATTTATCACAAGACTAAATGTGTGAGCTGGCTTGCTTCACTCTGCTTCTCAGCCTGGAACTTTGGTAGATGCTGAAATGAATAATTATAATGGAGATTTGTGTCTAAAATTCTGGTCATAATCCATTTATCCAATTCCAGCTTCAGGTTACTGACACATATTCCATAAATATGTATTTTCAACCAAAGATACTCTTTAACTTAGATAGTACCTTTGTGTTGTATTTTTTTAATGAAGTTTAAGAACAGCAAAAAAAAATAAGACTTCATCTGTTAATATTAATAGTGTTAATTTTGAGGCCCTATATATGAAACATTCTACAAAATGATCTATTTAGTTCTCACTAGTACCTGCTAAAACTACATTTATTCTCATTTTAAAGGCGAAGAAACTAAATAACCATAGTTAGAATACAAACCAAGAGCTATGTAATATAGAGTTTAAAAGGAAAAATAACCTCCCCCAGGTTTTCTGTAGACTAATATAATTAGGAAAATAAAAAATGAAATACAAAGTAGAAGCATTGCACATTAAAAATGGATTAAATATACTTCCCCATTTCTCTTGCTAAAAATAGTAAAAAATCCTAGATGCTACAATTATAATAAGACATAGTTTTAAAGCTAAGGAGAGACAGATTAAAATCTTTGAGTCAAGAGTTACCATGGATTTGTATTCCCTGGCTTGTCTTTTGGCATCATAAATCCTATGAGTTGAAGAAGGCAGTTCAACGATGCTAAGTATACAGATAAAGCAAGAAAATGATAATAATCTATAGCCAAAGGACTTCAATGAGATTGATTAGTCAAACAGAAAACATTTATGTATTATCTATCCTATTTGTCTAAATAAGTTATAAAATCTTGCATACCCCCATCTCTACCCTGACTAGTATAGTCTATGATGTTTTTGCTTTCTATTGTTGCTGTTCATTATTTTGTTTTGTCAATTTGACAGTCTAGAATTACATGGGGAAGAAGTTTTAATAAGGGGTTGTCTAGATTAGGTTGGCCTTTGGGTATATCTAAGGGGGCTTGTCTTGACTGAGCTAATTACACTGGGACAAATTCCTCCACTACAGGTGGTATCATTCTCTAAGCAGAGGATTCTAACTATGTAACAATGGAGAAAGCAAGCTGAGCACTAGCTTGCATACATTAATTCATCATTAATTGACTGTTTTCTGCTCTTAATTGTGGATGCACTGTGAACAGTTCTTTCACACTCCCTGCTACTATGACTCTCCTGCCATCATGAACTGTAACTTGAAATTACAAAACAAATAAAACTTCTCTCCCTTAAATAGTTTTTGTCAGGTTTTTTTATCGCAGAAATAGGGAAGGAAACTAATTTAAAAAATTAAGCAGAAATCATATATGTCAATCAGCTCAGTGAGCTACTTGATCCCTTGGATAGGATCAAGTCTTGCCACATGATAAAATGTGGAAGATGTTAACATCACGAGCTGTATTTCCATTCCTATGAGTGGACTTTCTATTTTGGTGAGATCTATTGCAGATCTTCTTATATTGAGATGATACCATAGGAGAGCTAACGATTACACAGCAATTTCTACATATCTCAGAAACAATAACAACATTGTTTGTACCCTAATATAAAAGGAAAAGTATCAGTCTTACCAGTCTTCTCTCCAGAAAGTTACTGGTGAAGGACAAGTAATGACTAATATCTCTAACTCCCATTCAGCAGCATTAAGGAGATCCCACACTTGAATATCAGTAGAAACCAGATGGGGAATTTGCATGGTTGCATTTACCCAGCAAGAATGAAGAGCCATAACTTCCTTTAGAAACCAGAGTGGAGCCTATAGAAGATTGCTAAAATAGAAATTTAAGATTTAGAGTCTCATATCATAATGGAGTCAGAGTTCCAATAAAATCTACTTGTATTTTTAGAACATGAAATAGCTCAAACTAAATAGATTCAAGTATTGAGATATTAAAAATATTAGAATTACCTAAAAAATATTTTAAAGGCCTCATAACAAAAATGCTGTATCAGATAAGAGTGATCATGCTTGCAACTAATAGCAGATAGAAATGCATCAACAGACATGGACTTTTTGAACAAAGAATGCATAAGGGAAATACAAACTGAACATTATAACACCTCAAATAAAGTATTCAGCAGTTAAGCCTTTGTATGAAATAGACTAATGAGAAAGAAATTAATGAGCTTGAAGGAAGAAGAATAGAAATGATTCCACATGAACAACAGTGAAAAAATATACTTTAAACAAATAGCTTTCATGCATGTTGGTGTATATCAGTACTTACAAGCCTGAGGCAAGAATTCAATGAATTAGAGGGCAACCTGGGATAGTTTCAAAATCCTGTCTCTAAGCAAATGATTAACTACTACTGATAAAATTATATAATAAGTGTAACATGTAATACATAATAATTATAAAACAATCAAATAGTCTTACCATAAGAATAACAAAAGAAGAAAAGAGGAAGTAATTGAAACAATAGCTAAAATAAAGACAGGAAAACATTCCCAATTTGGTAGGACATATTAAGTTAAAGTTACAGCATCAAAGAAGTACCTATCGACTATAAATCTAAATGAGGTCAATTCTAAATATAAATGAAGACATCTTAAAAATAACAAGAAGAAAATAGCATCTTATAGGATAAAAATAGCACAAATTTGAGTAAAGAGATAATATAAATCATAGCAAAAAGAAAAAGAAATTGAAAAAGCAGCATTATATTCCATATAAAACTGTCATCTTGGAATTCCACAGGGAAAATACATGGGAGTTTAGACATTCTTAGATGAGGGTAACTAAGAGAATGCGTTGTTAGCAGACCTGGCTCAAAAGCTTAAGAAAGTTATTTAAATATAAATGACACAGTATTTCAAAATGAGACTTAAAATTCAGAAATAAGAAAAACAAATGGGAAAAATTAAATTGTTCATTAAAATATTAGTTTCTTTGTCCTCTGAATTTCTTACTTTTGAAATTTAAAGCAAAAATACAATATTGCCTGCTATAACTCTATACTTACATAAAGAGTGTTTTACAGGAAGTAATTCTGTGCTTAGCAGGTAGACAGGATGATCTAAATAGACTGTGATGATTTGTGAGTTTGTAATATAATATCTAGAGCCACTAAGATGATATACAAAATGATAAACTTAAAATCACAGACTTCAAAACATCAATGAAATAAAATATCTATGGCAGAGAATCTTAAAATGGAAAAAAAAACACTGAATGATGATACTGCCAATGAAATATAAAATTAAGCATAAGCTCTTAGCTGAGCACAACTACATTGAACACAAATAATAAGATATACAATTAGAAAAGAGATCGTCAGTTAGATTGAAAACTAAAATAAAGCGCCACTACAAATGTATGTGCTTTTGTTTTACATGAATCAAAACTGGGACAAGATAAACCAATTATACATCAATCCAATAAATGGAAGCTATGATTATATCAATATGTGATAAAATTATTTTTGGAGTAAGGAAAATTCTAGACTGAGAAGTACCATGCATAATTGTTGATAAACTGATTTGTTACTATAATCAGATCTAGTTTCCTTGATAAACCAAATACTACAGCAGTAAATTTTGTGAAATTAAAACTGATCAAACTGAAAAGAGAAATAGAAAAATATATGACTCTAGTGGGACACCTCAATAATTTTCTCTAAAAATAATTCATAAATAAAAAAGAATTAGCAAGCATGAGTTTAATACTATTCAAATTTCCTGGACAATATTCATGAACTTCACCATTTAATAAGATTAAATACACATTATCTTCTAAGCCCTACATTAGAAATACCAAGATTGGCCATATGAAAAAAGATCAAGCTTGGTAGCTTGGTAACAGGAAATGCTTCAAGAAATTAAAAAGACTTGAAATCAAATAGAATGAAATTAATAACATCAAATACAATAAACTTGAAAAACATTTACAGAAGTAAAACAGGGAAATCTTCAAACATTTGGAAAACAAACAACATTCTCTGAATAGTTCATGGTTCATAGAAGAAGTCTCAAGAACAATATAACACTATCAAACTAAGTGAAAATGGAATACAATAAATCAATATTTATGCAATACATCTAAAACTTTGCTGTTGGGAAAACTGATTGTAGCAAATATATTCAGAAAAAGAAGAGCTTTAAATAAATGATCAAAGCTCTGTTGAGAGGAATGTAGGAAAAACAACAAACTATCACCAAGTCTGTAAAGTCTGTCTTGGAAAAACAAGACAGAACCCTTCTTGGTCCTTCTCATTAAATCAGTATTACTCTGATTGTCTGATTTGTGTAAATTGAAAAATGCAAGAACAATTAGGAAGAAGATGAAGAAGAAACAGAATTAACCTGAGAACAAGAGTACAAACAGTACAAAGGTAAGAGTTTCTTTTTATTTCTCCAGAGAAACAGATAGGGGAGAGAGAAACAAATAGACAGTCACAGAAAGAGAATGAGAGAGAGACAGGACTTGCACATGTGATAGAAATGAACTCAAATTACTGTCCAGGTAATTTTTAAGGTAAGTTATCTGGAAACTTGGTGGGCTAGGAAAATCAGTACTATAAATCAAACTAACTTCAAATCAGAAACCTAAATATCACTGACTGAGAATAGGACAGAAAAGATATCCAACCACAAAAAGAGGGTGAATTATTTGTTTTGCTTTTTTCCTGCTTAAACCCACAACAGATTAGATGATGTTCACAAACACTGGAGATGACTATTTGCTTTTCGTAGTTCAATAATCCAAAGGTTAAGGTCTTCTGGAAATATTCTCACAGACACACATCAAATGTTTATCTCACTGAGCATCACTTAATCCAAACAAATATACCATCACAGTTATAAATGAATTTATGAATACATATGTAAAATATTTATTTAACAAAGCATTAGCAAACCACTCAATAGATGAAAAAAAGTACATGGTGCTCACTTTGGCAACATATACACTAAAATTATAACAATGCAGAAAAGATCAGCATTGCCTTAAGAAAGGATGGGACACAAATTCATGAAGTGTTCCAAGTTTTTTGTAATAATGAATAAAATGAATAAAACTCAAAAGAATCTTATTGAATGAGATAATCTAGACCCAGAAAATCAAATTTTACATGTTCTGTCATTGGATGCTATTAGCTCCAAATCTTCAGATGGGAGCATATATTCAGGAGTAATTTCAGGAACCAGGAAAGTAAAAAAGGGACAATTACTAAAGTGGAGAGATGTGGGAAAGCAACAGAAAAGGAAAAAAACAGGGTACAAATTAGCAGATCATTTCCCATCAAAATGGGAAAAGGTGAACTCTAACTATGGAGGGGTGAGGGACATTAATAGAGAAGAGAGGAAGGCAAAAATAGCACTAAAAATGTTTGGATGAGTCATAAGGAATTAAAATATTAACTACCTTAAATGGAAAATAAACACACACACACACACACACACACACACACACACACACACAGAGAGAGAGAGAGAGAGAGAGAGAGAGAGAGAGAGAGAGAGAGAGGGGGCAGAGAGACAGAGAAAAGGCAATGTGGACTATGTTTCCTCCAAGAGTCAAAGACCATCTATCTAAAAAAAACCTTCAACACCATGCATGAGAAACCCTCTTGAGTTGTTGGTCAGGATTGTCTAAGACAATTACATTACAGTGTATCAGTGTATTGTTGTTGCATTGGGTTGTCGCCCTTACATGGATGGTAATTTGCTAATGCAGAACCTAGAGGACACTCAGCTGGAACTGAATGCTACTTCCTGTGTGGTATAAGCTTCCAAAGTAAGAAACCAAGAATCTCACCCAGCTTTAACCACAAATACAACCATTCCTTCCACAATAACCTTAAAAGTTCAGTAGTGGCACATGATGTTTTATTTTTGGCATAATGTCTGTGCCTCATCTACTGCCATTTCAGCCAGCAATTGCTACACCATAGATGCCAGCCTATATCTCTGACTACTGCCTGGCTGCTCAGGCTGCAGCCTAGCAGGAATTCTGTTTCTATAGGTACCTACTCTGTAACTGCTGCTAACAGCTTTAAGTAAATTTCTGTTCTATTTATAAGTAAGACTCAAGATTAAAGGCTGGGGTGAAAACCTCCTAGCTCCAAAAGGCTAAACAGCAACTAGCTAAACTTCCTCCTTAATAATAACTCCCCCAAAACACATCCTTCTAATCTGCCAAAGAAAACAAGAAACCATACCACTCAAAATCACTCCCTACTATTTTGAGTGCATCTCTCTATCTCTTCCAGATGCCCTCTGATGCTTTATGATTACTTTCTGTCAACTAGTAGCTAACTCAGCCTCCTGACCTAAGTTACTTTTATTTAACTAATGTAAATGCTAATTCAGAGTTCACAGTGTGACTGAATATTTCCCAACAGGCACAAATACCTTGGCAGTAATAAACAGCTCTCAAACGCAACAAAGAGAAATTATGCCTGGTACTAGAAAAGATGCCAACTACCCAGAACTCTACACAAAGAACTTTAGTAAACTAAGAAAATTGAGAACAAGAGAAATGTTTATCCCCAGTAAAGAAAATACCAATTGGTTGTTCAATGCAAATAAGTCAGCCTTGAAAACATATATAAAAGTAACATAATAAGGACTGAACAGGTTTTGTGTTTGTGTGTGTATATACATATACAAATATTTGTGTGTTTGCACATACAGTAACAGTGAAAAAAAAAAAAAGAGAGACCATGGTTTTGAGGGAGAATGGAAAGTACGTACAGGAGACTTTGAAGGGAAGAAAAGGAAGAATGAAAGGTTGTAATTATAATATGATCTGAACAATGACAACAACAAAGAATAAAAATGAGTGAAACGGCATTTCAACAGATGAAATAAAATATAAACTTGCTAATGCCAAATATTGGACAGTATGAAGAGAATAATAGAATATGAGCATCCTTTGGTGAGAATATAAAATAGCTAAGACATTTTAGAATATATTGGCAGTTTGTAAAAACCTAAGGATAGTGGCATGATGTATAGTCCAGAAACTGAACTTATATGAACATTTATCTAAGAATAATGGAAACATATTTCTACAGAACCTGAACATGTATACATGTTAAATTTATTTGTAATAATCTCCTAACTAGGAACAACCCAAATACCTTTCATCAGATGAATAAACTGGCATGGGTTGGCTCCTTAATAAACCAAAGTACACGTTAAATGAATACAAAGAAAGGCAAAAACATCTATGCAACCAGATAATGGAAAGCAAAACTTCTTGCATGCTAGGTTAAGTGTTTAAACACTGAGAAATTGTCTCAATTTCTAACAATTATTCTTAATGATAAAAGATCAGTTACTACATTCTCCTAAATTAAAAAAAAAATAGAAATAGAAACTATCAGGGAGGAACTGGGGAAGTTACAACAAAGTCAAGGGTCCTAAGTTTGTGGTAAAGTTCTCTCTTGGGCTGCACCATCAGGATCCATGAAAAGGAGTTTATTTCATTTTGACTAAAGGTGAGGGAGTTCAAAAAGATCCATTTTGTCTTTAAATCCATAGCTTGGCACCTACAAGATGTTTTGGCCTTGGTAGTGAATGTCTCTATCTAAATAACAACAGACTTGGGCCCAGGTGCCTTTACTCTAGACCCTGAAGGCTGGATGGCAGGTGTGGCTACCAAATACCTGGAGGATTAAGGAAAGTAAGTCTCTTGCCCCTTATACAAGATATAGAAGTCTTCTGCCATTGTCTCCACTTTTAATTGGATACCTATATTGTTAAAGAATAAACTAAGGGTGCATTCAGTATTAACCAAATCTGCCCTCCTGGCACCTATCCTGTATCTCTGTCTCCCCTTTTAACCCCATTAGCTAGCTTTTCTTTGATCCACACTCCTCCTCTAAGGTACTAACTCTGGGCTTGTCAGCTGGCTCTGACTCTAGCCCCACAAAGAGAGCTTCCCACACTACCAATCTCACTGTTGTACAGATATTGAACATATCACTATGTTAAGTTGGAAATTTTTCAGTTGCCATAGGTCCCAGAAAAGCCTGAGAACATGAACTCGCTCGTGGTTTCTGTCTTTATAAACTCATATGATCTAGGGCTCGGGGCTCACTCTCTCCTCCTTTGTGTGGTACAAGTTGAGCCCCAGCCGGGTGGAATAAAAAACCTCTTGCTGTTTTGCATCAAGTGTCGATTTCTGTGGTTTGTGGAACAATCATTACACCCCGAGATTCGAGTGGGGTGATCCGACATTTGGGAGATCCAGCAGTCGCCCCACCCCACCCCCATCCATGATCTCGACCTTGGAGGTAAGAAAGGTGCCTACTCTGTCTTCTCTATCTGTTGGGTGTCCTCTGATGTCTGATTCTGGTTCACTTTTGGTTTGCCGCTGCCCAACCTTTCCTGAGAACAATTGGGCAGTGGTTGGTAGACCTGCCTAAAGGACCACAAGATGCCGCCCTGGGGGATGCCCAGGGAAGAACGGAGAACTAAGGATACTTGGTGGTCTCCTTTGAAGAAGACCCCAATCTGTTTGATCGGGTCCTCCTGATTTGGTGCTCTGCTTGTCGGACCGCACTGCAGTCTGAAACACTCTCGTTTTTTGTGGTGCCACAAGCGTGGGCATGTTTGTCTGTTAAGTGTTGCTTTCATATTCTTGTCTCTGTATCTGACTTTCTGACTGACAATAGAACAGATGATAGCCACCCCCCTTAGACTAACTATCGACCATTAGACTAAAATTAAACCCAGGGTCCACAACCTGTCCATTGTGGTCCGAAAGGGACCATGGCAGACTTTCTGCACCTCAGAATGGCCTACCTTTAATGTAGAATGGCCGCCTGAGGGGATATTTGACCTAACCATAATTCTTGACTTGAGGGATATTGTTTTTCAGGCCAGCCCAAGAGAACACCCGGACCAAGAACCCTACATCACAGTTTGGCAGGACTTAGCCCAGAATCTGCCCCCTGGGTTAAGCCATGGGTGCATTGGCTAAATGGCCAGCCAGACTCCCTAGTTCTAGCGGTAGACTTCCAGTCAATTGGATGGGGCTTCCCGACTGGCTCCTCCACAGATTTATCCTTCCATCCAGGGAGACCTCCTCCTCCTGGATTCCCCACCTCTGTATCCGCCAACCTTGACTCCACAAGCGATCCTGGCAGAAGCCCAAGGAAAGATGAGACCCTCTGCCCCCTCCAAGCCAAGAGGACCCTGAACCAGCCCCAGGGCTGACACAGGGGACACGCAGCAGCACACCTGAAGCTTTACAAGCCTTGCCTTTGCAGACCTACCGGACCCCTCCCAAGTCGGGAACGATGGCCAGGTATCTCTCCAACCGCTCCAGTGCAGGCCCTTTTCCTCTGCAGATTTATTCAATTGGAAAACTAATCACCCTCCCTTTTCTGAGGACTCGCAGAGGCTAACAGGCCTTTTGGAGTCCCTTGATGTTCTCTGATAAGCCCACTTCGGATGATTGCCAGCAGCTCCTCCAGACTCTCTTCACCACAAAGAGAGGGAAAGGATTCTCCTTGAGGCAAGTCAAAACCTTCCTGGGGCAGACTGGACCTCCTCTCAACTCCGTAATGTCATAAATGCTGGATTTCCCCTTGAGTGGCCTCACTGGGACTACAACACGGTTGTAGATAGGGAGCAACTGACAATTTACCGCCGGGCTCTGGTGACTGGTCTCAGTGGCGCCCCTAGGCACCCCACTAACTTGACCAAGTAAGGGAAGTAATTCAGGGGGCCACTGAGGCTCCTTTGGTATTCTTGCAGCCTCTCATGGAGACATTAAGGAGATATACTCCTTTTGACCCTACTTCAGAATGTCAGAGTCCTTGGTGGCAATGGAATTTGACAAGGATCTTGGCTGCTGTAGTTAATGATAGGAAACAGGCTCAGACCAGGAATCAGTTTAGAAAGACAGAGAACTTGGGCAATCGAACCCCCTTGGAAAGGATCAATGTGCATATTGCAAAGAAACAGGTCACTGGACACGAGACTCCCCCCAAAAAAAGATGGTTAACGGAGGCAAGAAAACAAGCAGTGACTCAGAT